TAAAGGAAGAACCTTAAAGGGGATGTTTATGTTTGGGCTGTTTCCCGTGAGTCCCAGATTGAGCATCACCTTTCAGATGCGTGAATAGTTTTGCAATGTGTGCATTTGGGTTTCTGTAAGTCCAGCAATAGCACTTTCAAATTGAAAGTGGGATGAAGTAGAAGAAATAAGCCAGTCAATGAAAGAAAAATACCACATGACCTCACTTATTCATGGATAATTGAGACCATTATAAACTTTTGAACAATAATAGATACAGAGGCAGAGCTGCCTCAAACAGATTGTCAAAGTGCAGCGGGAAGGCCGGGGAGGGTTGGGGGGCAGGAGGTAGGGGGGTAAGGGATCAACCAAAGGACTTGTATGCATGCATATAAGCATAACCAATGGACATAAGACACTGGGGGATAGGGGAGGCTAGGGGACTGTCTAGGGCGGGGGGGAAAAATGGACACATATGTAATACCCTTTGTAATAAAAAATTAAAAAAAGAAAGAAATTGCATTCGCAAAACATTTCACCTACAACAAGTGAGTGTGTGTGTGTGTGTGTGTGTGTGTGTGTGCGTGCACGCGCACAGGGAGACCTCTCAAGCCCCCCTAGGAGCCCTCCATGGTAGCCAAATGGCGGTGCCCCCTGGCCAAGTGGAGGCGGATGTGGCTGGAGGGAAAGGGAGTGAGGGCTGGTTCCCTTTTCCAGCCAGACCCCGGGCTGAGAGTCTGGGGCACAGACAGCAGCCATGGCGTTGACAAAACAGTGGCTGCAGCAGCACAAGTTCTTACTTTAGCATCAAGGGCATTTCCTCCCCTGCTCTCCGTAACCCAGCTGGTCGTCATACTGTCCTAGCGCTGGCCCTGCACCCCCTCCCAGCTGTAGGGGCGTCCTCCCGGAATTGGGAATACCCGTCCCCCCACAGGCCAGAGTCCCAGTGCCCTCAGCTCCTTGTGTTTTTTTTCTTAGACTCAGGGGCAGGGTCACCCCTCCGCACAGCACACAGTCCTTACCTCCCTGAGGGCTGTGGGGAGCTGCCCACAGCTGCCCAGGTAGCAGTGAGCTGGGGGACTGGCCCAGCCCTTCCCTGGCTGGTTCTCAACTCCACTCTGACCAGTAAGCTCTCCCCAAAGTGAATGGCCTTAACCTCCGCCACTGCCTGCCCATCAGCTCAAGTCACTTGTTCTGCATCTTAAGTCTGCCCACCGGTAAAGTGGGGCCTACATTTGGGATCCAGGGTGACTTAAGGAGGGGTTGGAGGACCCCCTGATGGGTAATCCTCCGGATACACTCAGCCAGCATCAGGGCCCTGCGACCTGGCACCCTTGCCCCTCCTAGGGGCCCCTGCCTTCCCCCAGGCGCTCTGCCTCCCCTGCCTCCCCCCTCTCCCCACAGGA